TCTAGGCAACCAAAGAGGCCCTTCTTTGTATGGATAGTATTTCAGACAGCTGTGTCCCTTCTGTTCACCCATTTCTGCTGTGTGTGGCCACCTCACTTCCACTTAGATTGCTTTCCAAATCGGAGACTTAACTAGCTCTCAGAGTTAGTGTGTGTCATTCCTTCCTTCTAATCTGTAACCCTCTGGAATGATTCAGTGAGCATCATTATACCCATCTGATAGATGGCAAACCTGAGGTTCATAAGAGTCAAATAAATTGCTAAAGTGGGCAGAAAATAGAGATAGAATCTTCATGCAAGCCCAGATCCATGTCTTCTTACAACCAACGATCTGTAAGATGTTCTCTTAGAACAAACTACTGCATTGTAAGTAGGGGTAAAAGACCTTACACATTAAAGATTCACTGTTTAGTGCAATTATCTCATTAAATGGTAGAAAATACCGATAGTGTTTTCTCCGATATAGCAAATGTAACTCAGAGGAGGAACAACCACATAACTCAGTTATTAATCTTATTCTCCAATTTGGCAAATCTTTAAGCTGTGATTGAGTCCCTTGACTCATCCTTGTATCTAACCTTGTGTAATAGCTATAATGACAACTCTTTGTTTCTGAACAAGAACAATGGGCTCTAATTGAGGGCTGTTTCTTTAAGAAGCAAGACCACATGGGAGGTACCATAAATATGGAGAAATATGAACCCAAGTTTGGTTTCTTGCTATGTCTATCTATTAGGATAATTGCTTTGTCCTTGGTTTTATCTATATACAAACAAATGGAAAAACTTTATAAGAATTGTATATGAGTATTGTCTGTTGTGCAAACACATCATTAACAAAGTTGTGGGAAAGAAGATTGGGTAAGAATAGAGAGTGATTCATAGTTGGCTTGGAAAAGCTAGAGGTCTAGCACAGAACCAAATACTGCCCTATCTGGTTATTTAGCTGTCATGTGTGTGATCTTTACTGTCTAATTAAATTATACCCTCCTGAAGGCAAAGGCCATCACTTATTCTCTGGTTGTACTCTCTGTAGTGCCCTAGTGCAGGGGCAGGCAGAGAAGACAGCCACAAAATTGTTTCTCTATTAAAATGCAACCTTACAACTAACTTGGATCTCAATTCCTGCAAAGGCGTATGTTCTAAAACCACCTCCTCTGCATCCATTTTATTTGACCTCCAAAGTGACTGTGTGCAAGAAACAAAGTTACTCTCTTAACCTGCAAGACCCAGACCAAGTGTCAACTTTTCTAGGAAGCCTTGCCAGGCTCCTCACTGGGGGCTAGTGCATTCTTTCTGTGTTCAGTACATACTGAATGTGAGTCATTAATCTCATCTTTTAAAAATTGATTTGTCTATTTTCCCTCGGGGCCCATGAACTCCTTTCAAAGGCAAGGATCACATTTTTCTCTGCACCCACAGCGCGTCCCCCAAGTCCCCACTGTGTGATAGGTGCTCAGTAAGCATGTGTGTGAATGGCTGGTCCTCGGAGTTCTTTTTTAAATGATGACTCATTTGCATGTGAAAATATACTCATTTGCATATGGAAACATTTATCTTTAAGTGGCCAAACCAGCTGTATCCTAATTAGGAATCGCTAAAAGTTATTAGCTTTGATAAAATGTGAGACAGCTCTTAAAGTGGGAAACATAGAAATTAAATCCAGGTCTTCAGTACCACCACATTACTGGGATATCACATAGTCCCATGACTGCCAGCTTCTTCCCTTCTAGGAGGTAGTGGGAAAAGCTCATGTTCTGTGTGAATGGGAATGACTGAAAAAAATGAGAAGTCAACCATTCTCTCCGTGACGTGTAAATATGACATTACTTATTTGAGTCTTATCTGCAGCTGCTGTGTAGAAGGACTGTTGCTGTTTGACTTCTTTTTATACCTAGCTTGAGTAATAAGACTACTTGAACAAATGCATTTCTTCTCTCCCACCCTCTAGTCCAGCAGGCTGGTCTCTCCGCATCTGTGGTTTTCCATTGGTTGCGTGCCACACGGCTTAAGGCTGAACCTCCCTGAGTCCTTGAAATGTTGAATTTCTCTTCTTCATTTTTAAGATAATAGAAATGTATCTATTAATAATACAAACATTAAGACATAATATTTTCCATACAGTTATTTACTTATTTATAAAGGTGGCTTCCAATAGGTCCATTGTTTGATTCTGTTAACAGTTACGAGATGTTTGATAATGACATTATCCTGGCTCTGTTCTCAGGTATCTGAATGTTACCTTTAAATTGCCAAAATGGTTTCCTGAATTTGTACACAGTTCTAGCCCTTGGCCTATAAATCACAATACTGCCATTCCATTTTGGTTCTTGGTGTAAGTAAAATGTGTGTTTCTGTGTCCATATCCTGTGCATTGAGGGAAGAGATTTTTCTTCTCCATTTATAATGGCTAATAATCATAATTGCTAGTATTTTTCTGAAGTTGGGCAATGGGATACATGATAAAGAGTTGTGCTGGTGCCGCTTGCTGTAACCAAGTTTATGAGTTATAACTCTTACTCCAAATGAAATACAATTTTATTTGAGGTAGATCTGCAAGTGGGAGAATGACTATTAATTCTGCAATTCCAAAATAACTAATGTACTTGGTTTGAAGCCAGGTACACTGTGAGTTCTGGATTTAAGTGCTCTTGTGGGAAATACAGAGAGAGACTTTAACATATGGATTCTCAGAAGAAAATGCAACTGTTCCATACAAGAAATATTGAGTTATTCTTAGTACTTTTTAATGTGTGGTTGACTCTGTATTTTTGAGTGGTGCCATTTTTAACACTTGGCAATGCAAGCCAAAGATCTTCATTTCCTGGGGTAATTTTAATAACTCACCCATTCATACAGCAAGCATTTAGTGAGGATTGATGGTATAGCCCTGTACTTGATTTGATGAGAAATACAAGGAAAGTGGAGGCAAGATCTGTCTTCACTGGATTTATAATATTGTTGGAAAATAAAAAAGATAAATGTGTATGCATGTATCTATATAGATAGGTACACATAAGTATGTACACACACACACACACACACACACGACAGGTAGAAAGCAAAATGGAACTTCATGATAATGTATTAAAAAATTCACATTGACTCCCCTCTCTGCTGTGATCCAGGCAGAGGTTTTGGAACACCTGCCTTTGAGAAAGCTCATCATCGGATAGAGGGATGGGTGGGCCAGATGGATGGGGTGATAATCAAAGGATGAGCCAACTGCCTTGTGAGAACACTGTTGACATGGCTGTAAGTTCTGCCCGTGAGAGCGGAGGGAGGCTTCAGAGAAGAAGGGGAGTTTGAGTATGTTCTTGGAAGAAAGTGTAATCACACTGGGTTTTGTGTACATACGCACTGAGAGAGGGCAGAGAAGAACAGAGGTGCCTGTGAGGTCACAAAGCCTCCTTTGACAACTGAGTTACATCTTGCAAGAAGTTTACATAGCACAAGGGTAAATATTTATAATTTATAGTGTTTGGTATATGCATGTCAAAGAAAGAAAAGTGGGAAGAGAGCTCAGGCAAGAAAACCCTCACAGGCAAAGGTGGAAGAGGGGTAACCAGTTACACGTAAGGAGAGTGGTCCACTGAAATGGAAGACCTTTCACTAAAAAGAGACCAAATTAGGTGGATTTAGGGATAAACAGTATCTGACTGAGGGCTTGGGTCAAACGAGAAACGAAAGCTGTTTAAAAAAATACAAAACATGATGCAGGTGCAGGTTATTCCAGAATATTGGTTAAACACAGACTGGCTTCGAATCACGGCTCCATCCATTACCGTCTGGCTGTGTGATCTTGGGCAAATTATTTATTGTCTCTGTGCCTTAGTGTCCTCATCTATAAAAAAGAGGAAGTACTAGTTTTTACCTCACAAGGTTGGCATGAGTATTCAATGAGTCAATATTTTTAAAAGTTTAGAACAAACCCAGCACATTGAGATAATATATGTATATATGTAACATATATAAAAGGATATACACTAGGTAGTAGAAAACTAGCATGGCTTCTTAAGCAGTGGGTGTTAAAATAAAATGGTGTGTCCTGATACACAGGGCATAGGGAGGGAAGTTCTGGAGGCTGGCCGATGAGATGGGGCAGATTCCAGGGATGTTTGGATGAAGACAGTGAGGGCTTGGAGCAGAGTAGAGAAAAACTAAGAGGTTTGAATAGAAGATGTATTTATTTTTTTGGAAGGGTATGTGTATAAGTTTTTACTGAATTATAGTCAATTTACAATGTTGTGTCAATTTCTGGTGACCAGCATAATGCTTCAGTCATACGTGAACATACATATATTTGTCTTCATAGTCTTTTTCACTGTAAGTTACTACAGAATATTGAATATAGTTCCCTGTGCTATAGAGTATGAACTTGTTGTTTATCAGATTTTGTGAGAATCGTCTTATATTTGAAAGCAAGAAACACTGCCAGAGTTCAGTAGGTGTTCTGTGCAATTCAGTGGGTTTGTAGATGCAATTCTTGGTGTATTTGTGGGCGAGGGTGAGCTGTTAGTCTCTTTACTCGCCATCTTGGCACCGCCCCCCAGAAGACATATTTCAAAGAAAGAAAGAACCGTTAGAACTTGTGGGATTGGGGTGGGTGTGAGGATGTGAGAAGTTGTAGCCAAAGATGACTCTAATGTTGAGGCTTTGAGAAGCTGGGAAGAGCCGGGGAGGGGGCATGGACAACAAATGAGAGAGTTATGCATGAATGGACCTCAAAGCTCTGTAAATGAAATCTACAGCACTTAGCCTGAATGTGCTCAAATAATAATAATCATTAGCTAGAATTTCATCTTCCTTTGTGCTTTTCTGCAATTCTTTTGCCATCTGTTCTGGGAACAATTCAGGATGTCAGTGCTCTTTGAACAGAAAGCAAATTCTAAAAGAAGAGATTTCTGATTTAAAAACATGGACTTTCCAAGCATTTATTAAATTATAAAATAAGACAAAGATAAGGAAAAACTTAACTTTCCAATCCCTTGGAATTTTACAGAATGAAGTTGAAAACTTATTTCAGTTGGGAATAGAAAAAACACAAACAATGAAGCGCAATAAAACAAAACAAAAACTCGGTTAAGAAATGACCCTGAGGCAAAGTCTTAAATCTTAAAGGTCAACAGGTCGGTATACTTTAAAAACTGTAATTATAGCTCTTAATTCTTCCCCGGGCTTACTGTGTCATGTTAAGGTTATTCACTCCCATATACCATAGCCCATAATGTCACTGGAGGTATCCTTATGGCTTCTCCAGGTATTAAAGGAGCTTGATATGTTTTTGTTTCATTAATCTTTTCTCAGAGGCCAGTGATGAGTTCATCTGACTCTTTTCCATCAAGTTGAAAATTCTTTTCAATTAAAAACTCATCTCTACAGATGGTATTAGCATTAGGAGAGGCCTGTTCTGTCTAAAATAACAAATATTGAGATACTTCAGGAATTGCTCTATAAATCTTTGGAAGTAGAATCAACTAAAAGGTTCAGTTGTGTGTGTGTGTGTGTGTGTGTGTGTGTGTTTTGTTTTGTTTTATTTTGTTTTAAGTGAGTAAAAGTTGAACTGATGAGAATTTGGCCCATATGCTTTATTTATTATTGCTCAAATGGATCAGTTTTATCCCAGTGCTTGGACAATTTTGTTGCACGTTAATGTGAAATATTGTGAATATTTTAACTGAACTATCAACTATGAAATACTTTATCCAAAACATTATGATTACAAAGGCAATAAGAGAAACAGTTTAAACCAGGAGAGAATGCTCTGTTAAAGAGGATTAGAGAGACCATTTATTGAATAGTATGGATTTCTTCCAAGCCCCTGTGTGCAGAAAGCATGCAATGCGTGAATAATTCATCTAGAAATTCTATCGTGAAGTTGTATCAGTTTCCACAGTAAAACCTGGCCACAGAGGAGGAAAATACATCAACATCTGTGACAAGCTCTATGAAGAGACAGTGGCAAAGCCTTTCAGGCACCAGGAGCAAAGCAAAATATAATAAATTCACTTAAGTGTCAAATTTGTGTCGGCTGAATAATGACACCATATGTCTGGGCTGCTATGTCACCATAGGCTGCTCTGAAAAAACACATGGCTTTATGGAAACGGCTGTCAGCCTGGGGAAGAAACCTTGCTGGCTACTGCCCTTCTATCAAAGAAAACACAGGCCATCCAATAAATGCAGCTCTGATGATCAGAAATGACTGGTGTTTGGTTTGGTCTGGTTTGAACTAATTGGCCAGCATCTAGAGAGAGCCTGCTGTTTAGATTAGGGCATGAACAGTTAGAGCCTGTTTTGGGTGTGTTCCTTTAAATCTCCAAGTGAGGGGGAGCAAGGTTTTCAAACTCATCAGTTGGCCTTTTCTGCATGGGTCTTAATGATACACCTGTCTTCATCTAGCTCTTAGCAACTCCCTTCATGGTATTTTATAGGCGTTGTCTCACCAATCCTTACAGCATCCTCAGGAGGCGTCAAGGACTCAGATTTATTTTCTTCCAGGGCAAACCGAGGCACAGAAAGGTTACGGTCACATTAGCCCTTAGGACGCATGATTCTGGGGACGACTCAACCTTCTTTACTCCAGTTGGTCAGCATTTGACCAGGCGTGCCAGACACACTTTATGGGAAGGAGGATTTGTCCTTCTCTCCTGGGCTGCTGCCTCCTTCTCCTGGCGTGCACAGTGCTGGCCAGGTGCCCACTTCAAGGCTGCTTCTCCACTCCAAAGGCTCTGCGCCTGGGTCAGCAGCCGTGTGAGTGGGATTCCACAGTTGTCGTTGGGAAGCTGTTACCAGAGTTTTCCTGCTTGGACACAGAGACTCCATTGCATGGTGATTACGTCCTGGGTAACTGCTCTGAACAGCCTGGAGCTCTGCAGGGTACACGGTCCCCCCGCACACTGGAATCGGCAGCCCCGTGTCAGCTGCACGCCTCCTGCATTGTCTGGACCTTGGTTTCCATCACAGTTAGTCCAGTGGTACTTATAGTAGATTGTGGCCAAGATAAGCATTTGGAATGGTTTATACTTAATTTTATTCATAAGGGCAGAGGCAGGACCAAGAAAATTGTGTGACTCAATCTGATATAAGGAAATCTACTTTATATATATATATATGAGTTTTCCACATAAGAGCCTTTCCCCCCAAAGAATTTAAAGTTAAAAACTTTTAAACAATGCACTCAGCAAAAGGCTGCATATCTCAGTCACTTAGAGAGTCTTCCTGTGTGTGTGTGTGTGTTTGTATGTGTGTGTGTGTGTGACTGATTCACTGGATCCAGAGCACAGCCTGGGATTTTAATAAGCCCTCCCCTGTGAGTCTGATGTGAAGTCAGTGATGCCTCAGAGGGCTGCACATGCCTCAGTTCCTCTAGCCCTGCCGCTCAGGAGTATAAAACATCAAGGGCAAAGTGAAACAGATAAAAAAGATTTGTGGTTTCCTGACCAGACAGAGGTGTTTCCCATTCAGCAGTGTAATGTCAAGAAATGGAGAGGATATTCTAAATGCAGCAGTTCAGGCTGAATCTGAAAAATGGACATGTAAAGGAAGCCTGTGGAGCAAGCACAGTGAGAACTTGCGATGGATTTCTGCACCCCATCACTATCCTAGTTCCCCATCCCTAGTTGTTTGTGATAGTAACCCAGTTCTCTGTCGACTGCTTTTCCTTTCTTGAAATCAAAGGACAGAGGGTATGCAGAGAAATGATGGCCACAAATTCAGAAAGTATATATTTCTCCATCTCCTTGAGCTTGGGCTGAACCTGTGACTGATTTAATCAACAAAACCATCAGAAGTGATGCCATGTCCATTCTCAGCCCACATCTTTGAAAGGACTGGCTGCCTATGCTTCTCCTCTCTTACCTCCTTAGCTCAGGTGTTGCTCCCTCTTGAAACCCTACTGCCATCCGGATGTGTAGCCCAGATCAGAGGAAGAGGCTGCATCCAAACATTTTGTTCAACATTCTTACAAGCTCATGGCCAAGAACCAATATTCACTCTTGGCAAGGAGAGTGAACCATCTTGGGAGTTCTAGCCCAGTTGAGCCCCAGATAACTGCAACCTCCATCAGCATCACGTGGAGCAGAAGTACCGCCCAACTGAGCTCGGTCAACTCATACAGTCTCAAGAATTAACACAACAGTGGGTGTTTTATGCCCACTAAGTTTTGGGGTGGTTTGTTACACAGCAACAAATAATTGAAACAAAGTGTATTTTCCAGTCCATGGCATTCTGAAGGCGAAGATTTGGATCACAACTACAATTTCAATGTAGTACTTTGGCTGTACCTTCACCTACTTTGTGGTAACTACATTCCCATCATGTTCTTCCCACATAATTTCTCTAAGTGATATCCAGAACATACAATATGTGGACCAGTCCTTTTGGCCACTATTTGATATTGGCTATTTTATTTTTATTATTTATTTATTTAAAAATTTTTTTTAACATTTTTTATTGATTTAAAATCATTTTACAATGTTGTGTCAAATTCCAGTGTAGAGCACAATTTTTCAGTTACACATGAACATATGTATATATTCATTGTCACATTTTTTTCTCTGTGAGCTACCATAAGATCTTGTGTATATTTCTCTGTGCTATACAGTATAATCTTGTTTATCTATTCTACATTTGATATTGGCTATTTTAAAATTCTCACTTGGGTGACATCTCTGCTCTTAGGTGATGTCTTGTTTGCCGAGTAGGAGCCCGGCCCCCAGTGTCTCTGAAGCTGCACTGCTGTTGACCATGATGGCTGTTGAAGATGACCGTGGGCCTGAAGGTGAGGGCCCTGGGATCTGAATCAAAGTGCCATCTCTGTTACTATTGCAGCTACTGGTGCCACTGGAGCTTTGGGAAATACTTCATTATTATAATTAGCAACCTAAGTGGCTATATATTTATAGTAAATAACTGTTTCTTTCAATTGAACTAAAGAGTTAAGGTGTACTGCTTAGATAATTCTTCCTCTTCCTCTCCCTCTCCCTCCCCCACTTCTTCTTCACGCAAATATTCTAAATTAAGAACCCTGGATCAATGTTGCCATAGTTGAAACATTTAGCCTACAAAGAGATGACCAATCAAATTGTTTTAATAGGGTCCAGGTGGGGAGGCTTCTAATCAGGTTTTCCTCAGCAGGAATTCCTGCTTTATTTATGTGAGCTAAAAGTATTTGACTAATTTTTTATTCTTTAAATAATATGAGTAGAAGATGAAATATTGTTCTCTTTAAACACTAATGATATCTTTAACAACATCACAGCCTAAAAAATAGGAAATATTTAAAAAACAAAGATTGGAAATCCAGAGAACAGATTTTTGTCTCTAATCCACTAATTTGGTAGATGTTTGGTATCACATTTATTACACCAATATCTTGGGATTATTTCTGGGAAATAGTTGTGTGTACTTCCTTTTTTTTCTGTTCTATAGGACTGAAGTTGAAGCAGATGGAAAATATTTAAAGTAAAAGATCATTGTTTGAAAATATGAGGATACATACAAATTTAGTGAGATGGGAAATGAGAGAATAAGAGGAAATAAACACAAAGCAGGAGGGTATCAAGGTGGAATTGTCTTCTGAGCATATGTTATAGAGCAGCTCAATTCTCTTGAATGTGGTTTTGGAAAATTGGAGGGAAGGAGAAAGTCCATGTTTCCTGGGCATCAGGGCATCAAGAGATTAATGGGAAATTGAAGGGGACCTTCATGCCTGAAACAGAACTCTCTTTGATGTTCTCCTTTGAGATCCTTAGAGAAATAAGATCAGAAAAGGATTCTACTAACTGATTAGGCTACTTCCTACAGTAATATGGTGATTGGACAATGATTAATCCCCTGTGACACTGATGCATTTCCAGTGTCAAGAAACATCTTAGAAAAATGGAAACATCAGAAAGAACTGGAAAAATGGATGCTTTCCATACTATTTTACCTGCCCCCCCAAAGATTTAAGGGGTCCCTTTTCAGAAAGCTAAATACTAATGTTGGAGAATTATTGTTAAATATTTCTAAAAGCAGATTGAGTTCCTTTGAGTCATGTTAGGCTTGGTGGTTTTCACAGCAGAGTATGAATAGGTCCTTGCTTAGTTAACTCGGCTGTTTTTCCTCATAATGAACATCTGGTTAAATTCTTATATACAAATGTGAAGGAATTCTGTTTTTTGGAGGTACAGTTCTAGGAGTCCATGTGACACTTGGAACTCTCTTTAACCTGCCAAAAGATGCTCTGATAACTTTCAAATTTTGAGACTCACTTTGTCAGACACGTTGGCAGGAGGCTTTTATTTGAGGAGTAAACCTTTTAGAAGTAGGACCCCTTGGCCAATTTGGAAGATTTTGAATTTTTGTTGGAACAATGAAGTTGAGTTCTAAACCCTTTCACCACATGTTATAAATATTAACAGTGAAGGTAATGTGGGTGGTGGAGATTTTTTTTTTTGAAATGGGGATTTCAGTATTGGCTGAGATGATAATAAAGTCATTCACTGAGAAACAGAACAGGAGGTTGTTCTAATTTTATATTTGCCCGTTTTTCATGAAGGGGAAGGGAACAAGAAACAGCTTTAGCATAGTAATCAAATTTACAGGGTCAATACTAATGGATATAATGGGTTAGGCCAAATTACACAAGTATTTATAGTTTGAAATTTTGAGGAAGCACTTTCCTTAGTAGTTAAGAAGGCAGGCTCTATGGGGCTTAAGCCCTAGCCCTGACCCTTACAAGCTACGTGAGCTTGAGCCGTACCGAACTTAAACAACTTGCCTTATTTTCTCACCCTTGTGCCTGCTAGGGTTAATAATTGGACCTAACTCATGAAATAGTTGTGAAGATTTATTTTAGTTCTTGGTATGATAGCTGGAGTGAAGCACTAAATGCTCAATAAATATCAGATGTTGCTCTTACTAAACAGAAAAAATTGCCCGTGAACACAGGAAGAAAAAGAAAAAGAATTTCTTGCTAGCGTTTCCTGGTGTCTTTCAGATATGAGGAAAGAGAGTGGGCGAATTGAGAGAATTTCCACAATGATGCACATGAGTTTAAGGAATTATTCCTTACATAAGCGTCTTACTTGCAATGCTTAATATGTTGGCTTTAATGGTATTAATTCTTTTGGTACCCTTCCTTAAACACATACTGAGCTAGAACGCTTCTTCTGCCTTGCTGGACATGGAAGATCTCTAGCATCCCCTTCATTTTATTATTGAACCACAATTATGCTTCCATAAAACCAGCCAAGCAGCAGAGGCAAGACACTGGAGCCATATGGGAGCATGGCACACAGCAGAATGCAGTTCCAAATTTGGAAGCAAGGTCAGAAAATGTCACTTCTGAAGGTGAATATCAGAAGAGAAAACATTATAGATTAATTTGTCATCTTCTCAACTGCAGAAGTAAGCCCTCTGGTTGGAGTCTAATTTGTGTGTTGCCCACAAAGCTATTTTGTTTCCAGATTTTTATATTGGAAATGCACAGTGCCTCACAAATTCAGTCAAAGGCCCTGGACCTTTTCCCTGGCCCTGTCAAAGTTATTGGGTTCTTTTGTTATTTTTTTTTTCAGAAAAAGAATGTTATAATTTACTCAATCACATTTTTAAAGGGATTATCGCCTTATTGTTTAGGATGGTAGTGATTTACCTAAATTCTAGAAAAATATTAGGAGACTAGTTTATCGGAGGGTCAGCACTGACCAAAAATTGTCCTCCTGTCCTCTTTGAGAACTGTTCCTAGAAATGGATTGGGTAGCACAGCTTGTCACCCCTTGGTGGTAGTTCCTGTGAGCATCACCCAGTGCCTTTTAAATGTAATTTAGATTCCTATGTGACTTTTCCTCTAGAGGAAATAATGACCTGATTACACTCAAAGGCCACTCTGAGCCTTTGGGAGTTATATTTATCACTGTGAATTAATACTTTGGTGTTTTGAATCAGTCTTATAGGTATTTGGCTCATGTCAATATCCGGAAGCCAGTCACCCTCAGTTAATAGAAAAAAACCCAAAACACAATACATTGCAGAGCTGGACCTAGCAGAGGCTGCAGTGGACCTTTTCAAGATGCAGCCACGCAGGGCCAGTCTAGGGCAGTCAGCATCCCTGCTGACCTTGCTCACCTGCAACCCTGCAGCGAGGACCTCGAAGGTCAGGGAAATCTAGCCTCCCTTTCTTCCAGCCTCCATCTACAGAAACATATATTACCACACTCCCGTGAGGCTAGGCAGTGTTCTGATTTTTCATAAATTGGCAGAGGGTGGGAAGAAAGTAATTCAATTGACTAAGGAATTAGTGAGAATAACAGCTGAGATCCTGTGAGGTTTCCTAATCTCAGCTCCAATTATGATATCACCGGCACAGCGTCGGAGAAGACGCTCGATTTGTGCTGCATTTTCTTGGCCTGGATCTAATTCTACTAAAAACTGAAGGTGAGATTTTATTTCTTACATCTCAAATTCTTGGCAAATATCCAGAGAAGTACAGGATCAAAAAGTAGTGTTTGTTTAAAGTCTGTCTTGTTCAGTGGGGTAATAATAAGGCTGACGGCTGAGGAAATGTGTCTGAGAACTACAGAAAGGTGAATGCATATAATCAAAATATGGCTAATATTTAAACTCGCCCTCAAGTCCACCCGTGACATTGGTTCCTGATACATCTTGGATCTTGATGTGGTTATAAAAACTCATCCTGAGAAGTAAACTCCTCCCAAAGTCGTTAGGGCCTAGATAATAAAAAGTTTTAATTAGACATATCCTGTTTGTTCTCATAAAATCTAAAGAAAATATTAACTATTTTTGCCTGTCCTGTTTAGTTTATGGAGAAATTGTGTTCAAGGAAATCCATATGCCTTTTGCGAACCAGTTTGAGATGGGGAATACTTTTCCTGGCTTTATAAAAAAAAAAGTGCCAACCCAAACATAGCCGTGGCTGACAGCCGCTGCCCTCTGCTTTACCTGTGGGAAGTGGCGCAAACCCCAGGAGCCTGCGCACAGAATGCCCCAGGCACCAAACCTGCAGTCTTAGAAGCCACTAACAAGGTTATTTCTTCTCGCTGACACTTCGCCAGGAACATAAAGAAGATGGGCTACCTCTTAAACTCCTGGCTACCTCTGCTCCCCCTGCAGTCACAAGTTCTTTGTTTATCTTTTCTTTTGGAACCCTGGGAAAAGTATATCAAAGTGACTGGATTTGCCAAAATTTGTGCACTTAGCAGCTGGCGCTGTGACAAACGCCTGCAGAGAAGAGAAAAGATTCCTGTGTTTCTGAGTGTTATTTTCTCCCTTGAGAGGTTTCCAGAGACTTGAAAGGAGGGCCGTGCCGAGGAACTGATTAAATTTGCTCGTATGGAAATTGAAAGTCGGTGTGAACAACCCGCTCTCTCTGCCTCTGCTCCCGGCCCAGCTGCCCAGGTAACCAGGGCTCCTTATCACAGAGACGAGGGCTGGAAAATGCCAGCGCAGCCCCCGTCCCCTAATACCTGGCAAGCGGAGGGCTGTTCCCTGTGGTCTCCATTGTTTAGTCTGGTTGAATTTTAAAACATGCTTCAGGAAGACAGTGGTCCAGATTTCCTTGGGGAGTTCTCTTCATAGATGAAAACTTGTTCGGCTAATAAGTTGAAGATTTCTTTTGCTTCAGCTCATCCTATTATTTTGAGACAGTCTTGCCTCTTCTGTGCTTTGTGGTCTTAGGAAATTATTCAGTTCTCCGATTTCTCCACATCTGAAGAGGGGGATTGTATCATCATTAAAATACTGTTTGGAGACGACGGGAAAGAGCTGGGGCCACAGCGAGTGTTTAAACCATCCGCTCCAGGACTAGCTCCATGTGGCCTCCCTCAATATTACTTCAGAAAACTCGAGGTTTTCAGAATCTGAAGAAAGCCCTGGCGAATTTTGTGGTTGGCCTGCTCTGTTGTGGAGATGCTGTGCTCAGGACCGAGAGGAGAATCTGGGCGCTGAGCCTGGTGGGACCTTCTGACATGAAGCCTTGACCGAACTGAGAAGGTCAGTAACATTTTTAGGGAGTGCTGACCACCACATCCGAGGCCTTTCTTCCACAGCCAGGCTCCCCATGTGTTGTTCACATCACTCCAGGGCTCTCCTGTGTGGTACCCTTACCCTCATCCCCATTAAGTGTCACCTTGGAGCTGATGCTGGGTTACCCCTCCTCCCGGCCACCTCAGGGCAGTTACCTTTAACAGTGAACATTGCCTTTAAACAAAAGGAACATTTTCCAAACTCCCGAATTCCGGGTGCCTGGAACAGAAGTGGCAATTGTGGAACATTTTTTTCCCTTTGATACTGAGGAGGGAGGGTCTTATCACAACACTTCCAGTGTCATGCCACGTAAATAAAAGGATAGACGACATGTGAGAGCCTAGTGATATGCTTGTTGAACTTGAACTTGACTTCCGCCTCTGTTAGGCCAGTACCATTGTAGTTCCTAGTCTCTGGATAAGCAAATCAAGTCTTGGGAAGCTTAGGTAACTGGTCAAGATTCCACAGTAAGAGACAGGATTGAATTGAACTTAAGAAGTCTGCCCCTAAAATCTATGTTCCTCAATCACACTCACTTTTGGTGGTGGTGGGGGTTGTGACACTCACCGTGGCAGGGGACGTTTATTGACAGCTTATGCACCAGGCTTTGTGATAAGTCCCTCAGGGGTATTACCTTATTTAATCCCATTAATCATCCCATAAGGCTGGCAGATTTAAAATATCCTCTTTTTATATACAAAGAAAATCAGGCACAGAGAGGGAAAGGTTGTCTCATTCAAGGGCGTGTTCACGGTTACCCAGCTAGTAAGCTGCAGAGTTGTGGATTCAAACCCAAGCAAGCTGACTCTGCAGTCTTCCTACATACGTGCCTTTTGTGAGGACTCAGCCTTTACCTCCACAGAGACAGAGGTGGCCCTGCCACGTGGCCATGATGACGTGCAGGCCTTCAGCTGTTGCTCTAGAAACTGGTCCACTTATAACTTACTGTACTTGCTGAGGATGGAGTTGGCACCCAAAGGAGGCAGCAAGATGACAGAGTAGGCCCAGTACCATGTGGTCCATCATCTCTGTGCTGTCTTATGTAAGTATAGCTATTCCAAGTGGAAGCAAATTTATCTCACTTTAGTTTCTTGTCACCCACTACACCTGTAAGACATGATCAGAATGCCAACCAAACGCTGTCTTTCAAAAGGCCTCCCAAATTGACACCACATGGACAACGCTAGGGAGAAAGAGTTTAGATTCTAACCTGAAAGTCAGTTGGGATAGAGATGCCAGGTGACTATATCCCAAAGGGCTGAGAAGCCACCCGGGAGAACCACTGTCCCGAGGGAAGAAGGAACCAGGCAAGATGCTCCTCAGTAACAAAGCTTGGCCGTTAGTAAGGAAGATGGGATGAGGATTCTGAGTGTAGCCTGGAATATTTAAGGGGCTGCGGGTAAAAGTTTAAAGAATTCTTCTATGCCTAGCTCTGTGGCACCGGAGCATAAGCAACACTGCTTGCTGACTTGCTCTTAGAGATGCAGAAGGCCTTCCCCCGCACTTCTCCCTTCCCCAGGCCTTCAGCCTTCCTGAGGCCCTTGTGTTCCCTGGTCAGAGTAGTTCAGGGATGACCATGCAACCCCACTGGAACCAGTCCCTGGTCTTTTACAAAAGCCTTTGGTAGGAAGGAAGGCTTATTTCCTCAGGGATTTAAATCTGGGAGGATATAGCCTGTTGGTGCTGCTTGTGGACATGTTTTCATCACAAGACCCCTGTAAATGAAGCCATTGTGGAGGACTGCAGATTCGAGAGACAGGGACATCATCTGAGCCTTTGGATTAATGTCGCTTCCTGCGTAAACCAGTCTGATTTGGGTTTTCCGACTTTTGGCACCCAAAGTTTCCACAGTGGGGTTGATGGTGATGGACTGGGTCATTTTTTAGTTAGATTTGATGGGGCAGACCTCTCTGAGCATCTGGGTGTCTATAGACCAATGTGCTGATAGTGCACACCATTTCCCAGGGCAGGATTAGGGGTGATTTTTTGTTAGAAACAATTGTTTCTTTGTTAATAGCAAAATATTGAATATACAATTTCAGCTTTTCCTAGAATTGTGAGGCAGTCCACTGACCACACTGCTTCTTTGTCTCAGGCCCTCGGTATTGGAGATGGAACATTTCCTCCTCTCAACTCACGGGGAGGATGGCGAGGGAGCTCACAGCTGGGCTTTTGCACACACGCGCACCTCATTTGTCTTCCTTTAATAAGGTGAGGTTTAGTCTTCTTTCCTGTCACTTGGTTTAGCATCTTTTCTAACCCAACAGGTTTCTAAAATCTCGAATCTTGTGAGGTCAATTGCAGAGTTATTTGTCAAATAAAATCATGAATTTTTTATGATATCCTCAAACTGGGAGCTGATGGTGACTAACAGCTTCCGGAGACCAGGTGGTCCTCTCGAAAGAGACCGGAGTGAGGAGAATCCAAGTGTATGACCAGATTTGTTTTCCTGGCATGTGTATCTTCTGCTTGAACACACCCACACGATTCACAGGAGAGGTAAAATGGGAGGCTTTATTTGAATAAAAGCCCTGAAGGTAGGCTAAAGGCTCCACTTAAACCCAAGGTCATCTTTGTCCTCTATCTGGGTAGGAATTAGGAATTGTGCATGGGGTGGGGGGAGTCTAGGGGGAGGCATGGGGCCCTTAAAATGACTAAATTTACTAGCTCCTCTGAATCAGCTTCCTGTACTTCATCTTGGGGAAAAAAAATTCAGAGCAAGTGACAAAAAAGTACTTCTGGGCTTTTTGAATACCCTCAGGGGGGAAGGCTTCTAACCTTTCAGAAATTCTTTCAAATTGAAGCTTAAAGAGAATGTGTGTGAGCTCTTGTGTGCTTTCCACACAAATTCTACTTTTACTGTTAGTTGCATGGGGACTTAATTCTCCTGAAAATGCCTCTTCACATTTACCGTGGATCACGAGATGAATAATGCTAGCGGTCAAAACCCAACTGTCTGCTGTACCGTAGAGTCTCATGTTAACTGGATTACTGGAGCACTGGATTGTATGCTTAAAAGTTTGCTTAGAGGACAAATCTTAAGTTGTGTTCTTATGTCAAAAATATGTGTAAATAATAGGGTGAGAGGGAAGTTTGGAGGTGGTGTTTGTTTCCTGGGTGTCTACATATCTCCAAAATCATCAAGCTGTATACATTAATTATGTACAGCTTTTGTATGTCAAAAAGAAAAACCAGACTGGCCCATCTTACCCAAAATGGAATTCTTCATTTCTTTTTCAATTCTAATAATAAGGAGAGTTATGGTTGCTCCAAAGATGCTGATCAATGTGTACTTCCAGCAGCAGAAATTAGAGGGATGGGATGTGTTTCTCTAAACAGGTACATGTGTATCTCTTCCCTTGTGTTCTACTTACATGGGCCATGCATGCATTACTCTGTGGTCATTGTATGTTAAATAATGTAAATAATGTATTAATATTTTGCTTCCAAGATTTTAATAACTTCATAACATATCCTATTATTTCTTGAAATTTTTAAAAATTGAAGTATAGTTGATTTATAATGTTGTGTTAGTTTCTGGTGTACAGCCTAGTGATTCAGTTATACATACATGTATATACATTCTTTGTCATATTCTTTTTCATTATAGGTTATTACAAGATACTTAATACAGTTCCCTGTGACAAATGAACTTAATTACAAAAGAGAAACAGACTCACAAACATTGAAAATAAACTTACGGTTACCAAAAAGGAAAGGGGATGGAGGAGGGATAAATTAGGAGTTTGGGATTAGCAGATATACACTACTATATATAAAATAGATAAACAACAAGGTCCTACTGTATAGCACAGTGAACTATATGCAGTACCCTATTATTTTTAATTATGAATTTTTAGACATATCTTAAGACATAAAATCTTTGGAGATAAGAGTACAGAGAATAGTGTGATGAACTGCCATATACCTATCACTGAGATTTAATACATATTTGCTTCATTTTTCAAAGTATTTGAAAGTCAATCACAGACCTATACCAATCCATTTCTAATATTCTCTTCTATGTGCATCTCTAAAAGAATTTTTCTATAACAACACTAGTGTCGCCACACCTATAAAAATTAATAATTTTTATTAGTAAACATAAGTAGTAAAGTTTTTTTCTTAACTTTATGTAACAGAGAATGTATTTTACGTGTTAAGTTTTTAAGTTTATACTCAGAATCTTCTTGAAATTTATATCATTATCAACAGACAATAGTTTTGTTTTTTATATTAAAAACCTTGACAGAACATTATGGAATGAAACATTTCTAGTGTTCCATCCTAGAGGTTTTATTGAAAAGCTCTCAGAATAAATCTACATCATTTTTCTCTCACATTCTTTAACATAACGTTTTCTTGTTCAAAATACATGTGCTCTTATCACCGTGAATAATCATTTATTCCTTTATGATTCTTTTTTGGTAGGACTTGATGGCTTACTGTGAGAACAGCTGAATCTCCTCTCAAGTCCTACTCCTGGTGTACGTGAGAACAGATGACACATTAAACTGTTTCCATTCTATGGGATTTAAGTCACTAATATGTTGGATGGTCAGGTGTAAGAATTACCACATTAGACCTTCGAATTTCTCGCTAAGGACCTTGTTAGAAACCATGTATTTTCACAATGTCCGTGGATGCTTTATAAGAACAGCTACTAAAAGGTGACCAATACAAAAGGTCATCCTGGACACTGGGAAAGAGCTCTAGAATCCCAATAAAAGTCACGTGTTGAGTTCCAGCTTGCATCTTACCTGCTGTGTGACCTTGGATCAGCCAACTGACTTCTCTGAGCCACAGTTACCTAATTTGTTAAATGGAACAAATCACAAAGTTATGGGGATTAAATGATATAATTTTTTTTTGAAAAACAATACTCTATTGATGTAAAGTGATAGGGGCTGAGCTATGGACAGACTTCCAACTTCCAGAACTGTGAGAACATAGATCTCTGTTAAGATACAAAGCCTATGGTCTCTTATCATAGTCACCCAAGTAAGAAAAGAATGTGTCCTATGGGTGGTGATCTCCTCTCTATTTCAGCTAAAAGATCAGGAAAATGGGTGTACTTAGTAGCAGAAGGAAAGTAGGTGAACCATAATGTAGAGGAAGAACCTTGGCCTAGAATGACAGTTGAAACTTATAATCTTGCCTTGGGCCTTGCCTGTCTGAGAGATCTTGGGCAAGTAACAAAAGATGAAAGCTTTTGGGATCTTAGTTTCCTAATTTCTAAAATGAAGACAGTTTAACAACATATCTTTCAAGGTCTTTCTCCCTCTTAGAAGTTTGTTCAAGTTCCATGATCTTTTCTGCCTTCATCTGATGAAACAGTGGGACACTTGAGAGCTGTCTGGGAGAATTATGGAGGCATGTACCATATAAGTGAGACTGAACCTCACCTGTCTTAAATAATATGTGCTGTTTTCCTGTGAGTACACATGCTAGTTTCTCTCTGGCATTCTCTCTAGTCACCAAGTTTTCTGGTACCTGGTCTTTGCTTTAAATAGTTCGTAGATAGAAATCATAGATTTTTTTTTCTTTTTTGAAACACTGAAGTCTATCTGATTTACAATGTTGTGTTAGTTTCTGGTGTACAGCACAGTGATTCAGTTATGCACATATATATACACATTCTTTTTCATTATGGGTTATTACAAAATACTGCATATAGTTCCCTGTGCTATATAGTAGGACTTTGTTGTTTGTCTTTTTTATATATAGTAGTTTTTATCTGCTAACTGCAAGCTCCTAGTGTATTCTCCTTTCCCCTTTGGTAACCATAAATTTGTTTTCTATGTCTATGAATCTGTTTCTGTTTTGTAAAAAACTTAATTTGTTTCATTTTTTTAGATTTCATATTTAAGTGATATCATATGATACTTGCCTTTCTCTGTCAGATTTACCTCACTGAGGATGACCATCTCCAGGTCCATCCATGTTGCTGTAAATGACATTATTTCATTCTTTTTTGTGACTGAGTAGTATTCTATCATGTATATATACCACAACTTCTGTATCCAGTCATCTGTTGATGGACATTTAGGTTGCCTCCATGTCTTGGCTATTGTAAATAGTGCTGCTATGAACATTGTGGTGCATGTATCTTTTCGAATTAGAGTTCCCTCCAGATATATGCCCAGGAGTGGGATGGCTTGATCATATGGTAAGTCTGGTTTTAGTTTTTAAGGAGTCTCCTTACTGTTTTCCACAATGGTTGCACTAAATTACATTCCTAGCAACAGTGTAGGAGGGTTCCCTTTTCTCCACAGCCTCTCCAGCATTTATCCTTTGTGGGCTTTTAAATGATAGTCATTCTGACCAGTGTGAGGTGATACCTCATTGTAGTTTTCATTTGCAAGAAATGATACATTTTTTAATTCAATAGACAGAAGCTGTGGTGGGGTTACTAATCCAGGTAAATGTATGTTAAACCTTACTTTATACTTTGAGAAAATGTTTCGCTTGTTTTGAGCCTGGCCTTGTCACAGTGATTTTAAATACACACACACACACACACAGAGACATTAAATGGTGGCCCCTCTAAAGCTCTATCACCTGGAACCTGTGAATATGACCTTACTTAGTTAGGACCATGGTATTTGCTGTAATTCATGAAGGATCTTGCGATCATCTTGAATTTCCCAGGTGGCCCTTGAATCCAATGACAAGTGACTTATAACGGGCAGAAGAGGAGAAGCCACAGAAGAGCAGAAGGCTGGTGGAGACAGAGGCAGAGATTTCAGTGATGCAGCCACAAGCCAAGGAAGGGATGCCTGGACCCACCAGAAGCTGGAAGAGGCGAGAAGGATTCTCCCTGATGCCTTCAGAGGGATCAGGGCCCTGCTAACACCGATTTCAGACTTCTGGCCTCCAGAACTGTAAGAGAATAAATTTCTGTTGTTTTAAGCCTCCTAGCTAACTCGTGGTGAGTTGTTGTGGCAACCCTAGGAAACTAATACACATACTCTTTTATTGTCTATACTTTCATTGTATACCACTTCCCAATAGATCCATTAACTAGATTGAAACGATTTTGCATCTTACGGAAGACAGGCGTGTTTCTGGAGTTAAGCTGCGGATGATTCTGGCGTTGAAGGGCGAATACTTATCAGCACACTGATACACTTCTGGTTGAATATTGAGGGGGATCTTCCTGGTGATTAGTGTTGGCTCAGTTCTGAAAGACGGAAGGACAGTGGTAATGTTGAGTAAGATGAGGTTTTTAGTGTGAACAGAATTTTTCAGCCTCAGTCCCAGTGACATTTGGGGCCTGGTAATTCTTTATTGTCGGGGACTGTTCCACCCATTGTAGGGTGTTTAACGGCATCTCTGGACTCCACGCACAAGATGCCAGTAGTCCTGCCTGCCAAGTCCCCAGTTGTGACAACTGAAATTGTCTCCACGCATTGTCAAATGTTCCCTGGGGGCAGAATCTCCACGCCTCCCCCATTAAGAACTGCTGCTTCAAAAGATGACAGATGTATAGGCTCTGGGATAAGGACAAGAATGTGCCTATGAAAAATATTCAACAGTACCGCAAAAATGGCAGAGAATTTTTGAAGCAGAACCATTTTCTTAACAATCATAAATGACTCTGTAACTTAAAAGTGGATGTACATGAGAGAACGTTTGCCATTGCTATGATTATCACCCTGACAGTTTTTAATGTGAAAGAGGATCATCCTGTGACAGAAGATTTTTTCTCAGAGTGGAAAATGATATATATGTCTGTTTATATACATATACATATAAAACACACATACACACACATGTATACTTATATACACATATACGTATGGGTGTATGTATGTATTTCATACACATATGTAGATATGTGTGTGCACGCATGAGTACATGTGTACGGCATGTATATATGCATGCATCTGTGTAAATGCTTTGTTAATGAAGAGGCCTAAAGGCGTTTCATATTCTTCATCGTCCTGCTTGGGAATTCTGAAATTACGGAGCATAATGAGTCATTTCTAATGATGACGGAGTAAATGAAAAGCCTTTGAGAAAGCTCATCTTTCAGAACAGGTACAGGGCGCATTAGTATAAGCAGGTTGAACAGGAACAATAGTGGTGCGAGTGTTTTCCAAAAGCCCTCATTTCTCTCACAGATCTAAGATTCATCCAACTAATATGAAAACAGAATTTTGTTCTTTTATTCTGTTCTCTGCAAAGTGCTTATTACCTATTTGGAACATTGTAATCTTCCCCATGCAGTGCTGTGAGTCACCCAGCTGAGAACCGCTCTGCCTACTCACACACACAGTTGCCTAATGTGTCTTATAAGCCACATATAATTACAGTGAATGCATCCTTCTAAGGATACACTTGTGGTGAGCCTGGGTCCTTCTAGAAGAATGTTCACATGCGGAGAAAAATGCTTCCTTTGACAATATCTAAAATCTTCTTTAAGTAGAGAAATATCTATTTATCTCTACCTTTAAAGTATGCATTTCACAGGATGCAGACAGAGGCTGAAATTTGCTAAGGGCTGTTTCCTGGCTTGGCAATTACACCGAACTGGCTGATCTAATGGTTCACTGAGATCTTGTTAGAATGACACGCCTTCCCAGAGACAACGAGAATCATGAGATAAGCTCTGGAAACAAATCAAGGATTTTGTGAGAACACTCCTGGAGTCCCAGGGAGCAAGAAAAACTGTAGGGAGTGTCTTTTTAAAATTGATTTTTGAAATTGAGTTTCATGAATCACAAGTGTTCTTCAGATTGTCTACAGATGTTACAAATATTCCAGATGGTAACTGAGAAACAGGTAAATTAGCTTAGAAATGAAGGAGAACATCAGACCAGCAGACAGCTATGGGGTTTGCTTGGACAGGGTTATTGGGGGCAGTTTGAGAATTCTTTTTCTGTTTACAGCTCATTCTCATGTTTGGAATGACTAGCAGTCTGCTGGTAGTGGGAGCAGTGCAGTCCCCTGAGGCTGTAACCCAGTTTGGAGTCATGTCCCAGGTGCATGTCATCTGGGAAATACCTTTGTGCCTGAAATAATTAGTAAGATGCCCAGTTCTGGTTATAGAACACACTAGCAGGTTTTTTTTTTTAATTGAAGTATAGTTGATTTACAATGTTGTGTTAATTTCTGGTGTACAGCATAGTGATTCAGTTATACATATGTATATATTCTTTTTCAAGGTTATTACAAGCTATTGAATATAGTTCCCTATACTATATGGTAAGACTTTGTTGTTTATCTATTTTATATACAGTAGTTTTTATCTGTTAATCCCAAACTCCTAATGTATCCCTCTTCCCTCTTCCCCCTTTAGTAACCATCAGCTGGTTTTCCGTGCCTGTGAGCCTTAGAGATGATCACGCTAGCAGACTTTTGAAGAGAACAGCACCTGCTCTCGGCCTGCGGTCCCAGGCCACAGGGTGCGGCCGTTTCAGTGCCAGCGTGTCGACCGCCGTGTGGATGTCGCTGGCGTAGGCTGGGTTTTTCCACCGTTAACTGGACGAGAACTTGTTCCTTACATACACTTTTGCTTGTACAAGTGCTGGCTTCTGCCCACACGAGCAACTCCAAACCCCAAACTGTAAGTCTCATTTGTGGTTACTGGGATGGGACCTGATGGAAAACCTGACCATAAAGACAAAAAAAAAAAAATACATGTGAAAAAAAAAGTCCTCTGGTACAGAAATCAGGAAAGGATTCAAATAATATATTTGTGTAACCAACACTTGCTTCCCTAACGCTCACAGCAGCCTGCCGGCAACATGAGCCGGGTGGTGACGACACCGCCACCACCACCACTTTTTGATCTGAATCCCCACAGCAGGGTCGCTGGTCTCTCAAGACTAGTCTTTCCCCGCCAGAGTCTGAGGGTCTCCCCCTCTCTCTTTCCCACCTTGGTTGCTTTCCTGAGGCTGCTCTGCCTCAGAAGTGGGTCTCTGTAGCCTCACCTCAGCTCCAGAAGTGGAGCTCCCCTTGCACCACAGTGTTATAAGTTCTTCTGTCTCTAAAGCAGGAATGACTCGCTCCTGCCCAGTGGATGCACCATGTTAGGCCCCTCAAAACTCTCCTGCTGCCTCCAAGTTGTACAGTAATAACAGTAGCAGTCATATTTATATCTGACATAGGAAATGACTGTTTCTCTTATAGATGTAAGTTATAATATGACACTTACAGTAAGATACTGTATCTTAATATTAAAAAAACTGTTCATGGACTCATCTTTAGAGAACTTCACTCTTTTTATCAGACTAACAAAGTCTAAAGTAAAACCATATCTTTATTTTTTTTTAATTGAAGTATATTCCATTTACAATGTTATGTTAATTTCTGGTGTACAGCATAGTGATTCAGTTATACATGTGTGTATATGTATATATTTCTTTTTATATTCTGTCTCATTATAGGCTATTACAAGGTATTGAATATAGTTACCTGTGCTATACAGTAGGATCTTGTTGTTTATCTATTTTATATATAATAGTTAGTATCTGCAAATTCTGAACTCCAAATTTATCCCTCTAGATCTCCTTCCCCCTTTGGTAACCATAAATTTGTTTTCTGTGTCTGTGAATCTATTTCTGTTTCGTAAATAAGTTTATTTGTCTCATTTTTTCAGATTCCATGTGTAAGCGATATCATATGGTATTTTTCTTTCTCTCTGGCTTGCTTCACTTAGTATGATAATCTCTACATCCATCCATGTTGATGCAAATGACAGTATTCCATTCTTTTTTATGGCTGAGTAGTATTCCATTGTATATATACCATATCTTCTTTCCAATCATCTGTTGATGAACACTTCGGTTGTTTCCATGTCTTGGCTATTGTGAATAGTGCTGCCGTGAACTCTGAGGTGCATGTATTTTTTTAAATTAGAGTTCCTTCCGGATACAGAAAGCGTGTCTTTAGAATACAAACTCCACATGCCTCAGCCCCCCAACCAGGAGGCTTTTCTGGAAAATCCAGAACATTTTCTTTCAGGGGGCTAGGTTTGTGTTTGTGTTTTCAGCATTCTGGAAGCCATTCTTTAAGGGACCTTGCAACTGCTTTCTGAGAACCTGGGTCATTGTTCAATAACAGTGTCCCTACCACCTCTACTCTCAATTGATCCTGGGTCTGTCACGCCAGAATTTGCTTCCAAAGTCACTTTTCATCTAAGCTGCATATGCCACTACTCTCCATTTTGAGAATAAAAGCTGGCACAGTGTTGCTTCTCTTCCTTTCTTCTTTTTTTTCATACTCTGAAATGGAAATCTCATCCATGGGAGACATAGTGGGGGCACTAAGGGGCTGTAGGTGAAGCCATGTGGATCTTGAGTGCTGGGGGCTGACTTACTGCTTTAAAAATATCCATGTTGTGCTATAACCACCTTCCACCTGACTTTCCACCGGATCTCTGAGTCTCAGAGTGGGGAGGAATGTGTCACCTTGTGGTTGTGGGGCTAAATCTTTTATTCTCATAAAACACTGAGCACAATCCATGTTTGACAGACAGCGTGCCATTGCACCTCACCATCATCATCACCATGAGAGAGCTGAACTGGCTTTTTGTGTCAAGATGAATAAAGGGCTTTTAAAAGTGGCTGGGGTGGGAAGAGGGGGACCAAGGCAGGAAGCAGCCTCTCTCCCGCCCCATCACATCTTCCCTCTGCATCTCGGTCTTCCTTGAACTGGAAGGTCTTCCTGAACTTGTCTGTCAGGGTCTATTGTAATGGTGGTAGAGCAGAGTCAATCAGAGGAGAGCAGTTTGTTATTTACGTTTGGAACTGAGGAATCCTATGAGATCCCAGAACCATGCATTGGAGCTGCTTTCATTTTTTTTCCCGTATTTCTACGGGTACGTGACCTTCAAAATGGAAACTTGAGGAGTTAAAAAAAATTATCAAATCACTTTATAAAGACTTCTTTTTTCCTCTTAATTTCTTTTATCTCATATAAGTCTTCATGGAAATTCTCAAAGCTTTAAAATATGCCTAAAATCCCAACAAGAATTGTGTCCATTTGTCTTCTGTCTTACCCGCTGCGGATCATGGCTCTGTAGGGTTGGCAGTTCTCACAGTAAACTCTTCAGTTTGGGGTCTCCACAGCTATTTTTGAATACAATTTTAATTTTTTCTCTGGATGTGATTATAATCGAGGTAGAACTATTCAAAAGACTTAAAATCTTAATTAGTTGATTTTCTTAAAACAGCAGGTGAATTTTTGAGCAATAATTATAAAAATTAGTAGAAATGTGAGTGGTGGTCAGCTAACATGCATGCCCCCAGCATGGCACCTCACCTCAACCTGGTCTTACTGGGGAGTGACCCTCACAGCACTCTTAAAATTAACATTCTCATTCCTTCCATTGGGTAAGTGGTTAACTGTAGGAGAAAAGGGATCAGATAGCATTTACTACTAGATACTTTGTATGTTCTGCCAGGGAAGTTTACATTTTAAATATTTGAACTTGGTAGACTAAAGAGGAGGAGAATGGGACAGAAAATGTGAAATATGCACCTTATACTCTGTACAAGTGAGAAGTCACCTTGCTGTACTAGGAACCCCGCACCCCTCCCTCTCCCCCTCAGAAACCCCAATGGCTGGAATGAATCAGGGGTCATTTTTATCTCATGCAAAGGCAGAATGGAGATAGGTAGTTTGGGACTGGCATGGTGGCTTCATGATGCATCAAGGATTTGGGCTTTGCCTTTGCCATCCTCGAGGAATGTGTCTCTTGTCCTCACGCTCCCAAGATGACATCTGAGCCCAAGCCAACTTGTGCACATATCAGGGAGAAGAAGGGAAAGGGGAAAGGACAAAAGAAACATGTCTCACTTGCATCAGTAGCCTTTAAAGAGTTTTCAAAGCCCTGTCCGGTCCCTCTGCTTGTACATCACTGTCTGTAGCTTGTGACCACCCCTTGCTATAAAGGAGGCTGGAAAACACAGTCGTTTATTTAGTTCTTTGTAACTGAGCACTTGCAACCGTGGAAAAAATTGGGTTCTGCTGGACAAGGAGAGAATGAGTTGACCCTTGGAGAGGCGTCGGCAGCTCTGCGCTCTTCTTATCATACAGTGTATAAATATCCCAGTTAGAGAAACACTTTATCGACTAGAATCAACTCCTGAATCTCGCCCAGGATTTTTCTATTTGTCTTCTGTCTCTCCCCACTGAGGAACATGATTCTATGGGGTTGGGAGCTCTCACAGAGAACCCTTCAGTTTTGTACATCCACAACCTGTTCTGAAGCATTTCCCATTGTTAGAGCCATTTATATTTAAACCCATTTCTACTGGTAAAACAACCCATCTAAGAACCCTGAGCATTAAACACCTCCTTAAAACTACTCAAACGGTTTACTCTTTAGCTTACAACGTGGTTTACACCATCCTCCCAAAGAGGCAGTCAACTGAACATAGCCACCTGTTCCCCCTAGCCTCACCCCTACCCTGACCTTTAGGTAGAAACAGCATCAGCTTCTCAACACTGCAGGGCTTGCTTTGAAGTCACAATTTGCTAAGCTGTCCTGGTAGAAGCAGCAACAGTTAAGTCTGTCTTTTTAACTGGAATATTTGTCTGTGAATTTCTAAGTTAATGCATTTTGACACTAACCTGGTTTTTTGATCTTGATTTTCTTCATGTCCAATTTGTGTTCTTAGCACCTCAGAACTTCTCTGAACTAGTTTTCCACCTTAAATGATGCTACCTTTTCATGTAAACCCTGGGCTGTTGTCTTTACTACTCCATTGCCTGAAGAAAAAGTTACCTTAAAGTATTTTTCCTGCCACATCAGCTATAAGGTAAATCATTCCTTTATTCTTACCATTGTTAAATTATCTGCCTTTGGCAAGAGATCACAG